AAGCAAATGCCCGTATTTCCTTTTCATTTGACTGTGTGGAAGTCGGACATTTGTCATGTTGTGCTGGACATTAGCATTGGGTGCTTTCACCCCTCAGGAAGACACGCTCGCATCCAGCGGGGAGTCTACCTGAAGAAGGGGCTCCACCTCCCCGGGAGTCCAAGCCGGAGGAATGGGGAAAGTGAAAAGCCACCAGAAGCCCCAAGGGCTTCCACCCGCTCAGAGCTGACCTGTAAAGACCCTCGCAACTGCTTGGGGCCCAGCAGGACGTGGGCACTTCGAATGGGGGAATGAGAAAACCAAGAAAGAATGACTTACCCCGGGCCAGAGGAGAAGTGACCAGGAGGCAGAGAACATTTTCTCATGATACAGGCGGACCCCCTTAGAGTCTCTACTGTCTCGGCCCCCAACCCAACCCATGGTGATGAGTCGGTGCCAGTTCCCAGCGGCCTTGTGGGACAGAGCAGAACTGCTCCGTGGGGTCCCGAGACTGTAACTAATCTTTATGGCAGCCGCTCTCTCGCACAGAAAGGCTGGTGGGGCTGAATTGCTGACCATTCAGCTAGTGGCCAAGAGCTCGGACCTCAGCTCCGCCAGCATCCCTGTCCTCCGTCCAGGGAGGGGGCCCAAAGAGAAGAGTTGGAGAAACAGCAGCATTGAGACCCCTGAGGACCTGCCTGGCAGCCACTGGGTCTGAGCCACTAGGCTTCTCTGCTTTGTGGTTGTAAAAACAGGTACAATGTACCCCGAGGTGTCTAGTATCGAGGGCGTCCGTGGGCATAAGATGGGCATGGAAGTTAAGCTGGAAGCATGCAATGCCATTAGCCCTTTTGAAATACTGCCAGGTATCTGAGTAGTACTTGTTAAAGTCACCCCAGTCCCTTTCCCCCATTTCTTCCAGAGGGTCCTTTCTCACCTGCTGCTGGGTGGTCAGTGGCTGCAGCCCCTGGAGTGGCAGGCGGGTGGGCAGCGGCAGGCTCTTATCCCTTCCTCCCGGGAGGACAGGGTGTGGACCCTGTGCAGTCCCTCTGCAGGCCGAGGCAGCCAATGGGGGCCGAGGGCGGAGAGGCGGCTGGGCAGACAGGCCAGCACACAGGCTGCATTGACCGAGCGACCGCCCGGGGACTTTCTGGAGAGCCAGGGCCCCGCAGCAGCCAGAGTAAAAAAGAGGGCCTTGTGGTGCGGGCAGCAGGAGTCAGCATTTTTTGCTTTTTTTTTGAAACATGAATATTGATGCTCCTCTAAAAGCAGGGGGTGGGGGTGGGGAGCCGAGAAAGAGATGCAGTAATTGATTCAAACAAAGCAGATATCCAGCCAAGAACAAGAAGCTTCCAAGCACCGGCAGAATGCAGGAGACTAAGTACACAGGCCCCACTTAATAAACATCGGCTGAGCGGAGGTCTGGCATCTTTTATCTCTGTGGTGGGCTCTGGACATCTGGCTAAGCCAAAGGAGATCCCTTTCCCCACAGACAAAGGCTCATGTTTTCCTACAGCGCGCTCACGTTGACCCATGGGGAATCATAAGTGTGGCTTCCACCCATGCTGTCTCATGATTGCTATGAATCTTTGGCTTAAGCCAGGCAATCTTCCGAGTTCTTTCCCAAATGGAGAGCTCATGGAGCCCCTCTCCTATCTGCTGTGCTACCTGCCCTGGCCTCAGCTGAAGAGGCAGATGCCCTGCGGCCTCAGTATATTTGGGGGAGTGGCGGGGAGACTTTAGTCAGAGCAAACAGGGCTGTACCCACAAACTACTCAGTCCAGTGCTTGATGCCTTTAGGGAAAAATCCTTGTTTGTTATGGTTCAGATGTGTGCCAATCTGCTCCCAAGCCCTCTCCCTCTCCCCAAAAGGCTGAAAGGTTACTGATGGTTTGAGTTGGATGGTACTTTAGAAATGTCCTGTGAAAACACTCACCTTGCCCAGGTGAGGAGCAGAGATGTTCTGCCCCTCGTCGAAGGCCCAACCCCCCAGCCATAGGAAAGAGAAGTCTAACCATCACCCCATCCGACTGTCTGGCTTCAGCAGCACTCTACCGGAACCTCCAAA